TATATACTTTCCTATGTGGGAAACCAATATTTCGAGGTGTTACATAATTTTTGGCCCAATCAAACTTATAATACCCCCAACACATAGTGTTGTAGGGTATTAAAATTTAGTATATTTGTTCCGCGTAAGTCACAGTATTTTAAAATTGTATGGATATAAATGAAAAAAAAAAAAAAGATCATAATAAATCTCCATAAATTTTTACTAATATGCAGTTCATGATGAGAATATTAAAATCCGTTTTTTTCAAATAGGCAAATGTCGTATAGAATACTTCAGCATAACACCGACGATATGCGAAAATGTATAGCTTGGTAATCATTTGAAAATTATTTTATATAAAATAAAGCTAGAATTGTAGATTAGAGGTCTCATCAATCGCTGATTTTAGATACACCCCATACAATTTCTGGGCATAAAATATTTTTAAGAATACTGTCTAAAATACTTCAGCTCCACATTTTTTTTAGGTTTTTTCCATTTGAAATTGATTTCGACTTCTATTAAAAAGCTACCGAATTTATTTCATATTTACTGATCTACATATTAGATATTACGAATGCTCAGTTTCAGTCCTGGTTATTTGTTTGAGCTAGAATTATTGATTTCCCTTTGCCAGAATATTAAAACTAAAACATAATTTATAACTAAATCGAAAAGGTAAACATTATTGAATCTATTTTGGTCTGATATCATAATATCAGATATTTTTTACTCAACGCCATTAACAAATTTTCCTAACATGGAATTAATGAAAATAAAGCATATCTTTCGTTCATTACAACATTATAAAAATGCATGCCATAGTAATTAAATCAAGCATTTGTCTAATGTTTATCATCTTTATTGCAATTCAATTAAAACAACAACAACAACACAATTCAAAAACCCTATGTTACATTATCTTTTTCAAATAAATAAAAAAAACCAACAACAACAGGGAGATATAGGATTTTTTATTCAAAATAACTTTAAAATAATTTACAAAAGTAATGTTTGCCACAATATTTCAAAAAAAAAAAAACGCCATGGGAAGACCTTAGACATTCACAATTGGCATCTACATGAAAGGATAAATTTTCGAAACTAAGGTTTAACCGTATCGTATGTTACAACACCATATTATATGTACTGAATTTTGTTTTTTTAATAAATAAAAAATTTAATAAATAAATACAATTTAATAAATTTTAAATAAAATCACAATCATTTCAAAATAAAATACCATACAATTTTTTTCACAAATGCCTTTTTGCCATTTGAGTTGCCTTGTCTTTTCTTTGTTTATTATTGTTTTGTGTTTTTCATTTGTTAATTGTTTTTATGAAAAAAAGCTTTGTTATTTTCTGTTTTCTAAATATTTTATTTTGGTTTGGTTTAGATGCTTTGTATAGCTACTTCTAATATTTGTATATAGATTTATATGTTTTGTTTTTTTATATATAAATATAACGGCTGCCATATATATACCTGGTGTGAAATAGAGATATTTTTACGAATGGATAGTGTGGTCGGCCTTGTTCGACTTGTGGGATGAAACCGAACACCATCATCAACATTTGTCTTATTCCGGAGAAAAGGATAGCCCCATTCCCTAAATTTGTACGTGTTCGAAGAAAATGAGTCTTTCAAAATCTATTCATTTCAAAGGAGGTTTAAGAACTTATATGCGGTCTTTTTATTATAGAAAATTTAAAATTCAAGTGTAAATATAAACGCTACAACTAAATTTTAATAGTTTTGAATTTTAACACATAGAATACCCAAAAAGAGTTTTTAAACCATAAGCCACGTGCAACTGATTTTACGGACTTTTACAATCTATGGAAGACTTCTAAACCGTAGAAGGCCTCAAACAAGTCCTCCACTGAATTTGGGCTTCGGTAAATTTCAATCCAAAGGAGGTCTTCTGATAGTCTTCGTAAAAAATCCTTAACAAAATCCTGCGAAAAATCCTGAAAAAAAATTTGTTGACTTCCGCCAAAATCCTGAAAAATCAACATCCTTTCCTAAATTATTAAAAATATATACAGTTTTCTCTCAAACATTTTTAAAAAATTCTCCGTTGAAAAAAAATCTGAAAATATCAAGTTCGATCCTTAATATATCCAAATCTTGACAAAAACCCTAATATATCTTAATTTATGTCATGACAAAAATCCTAAAAAAACACTATACAAACAAGTTCGAGCCCTATCAAAAGTACCAAAAAAAATCTTCATTTAGGTCCTGTCAAAAATTCGGAAAAAAATAATAATAATTTGGCCCAACCAAAATTCCCGAAAAATCCAGTTCAGAATCGTCTCCTGTATCCTTAAAAATCCTTTCACACATTCTTTGAAAAATTCATCCCGATGAGATTTGGGAAAAATTAAAGTTTGGTTCTCCAAAAAAACCTTAAAAACCTGTTTGGTAAATCCTTTGGATTCCTCTATAGCTCCTTAATCCAAGTTTGGGTCTTCATAAACATTGTTAAAAAATAAGTTAGATCTCGGCCAAAAATCCTGCAAAAATTATGATTTAGGTCCCAACTCCTTAGAAATCCAAAATTTTGGACCCCAAAAAATATTTTTATCCTTACAAAAATTTGAAAAAAAAAAATTAAATGTGATAGTTGTAAAAAATCGTAAAAAATTCTAATACCTAATTTTATTCATGTCCTGCTAAAAGTCCTGAAAACATCCACTTTTGTGTGCTGTCACAAAAATTCTGGAAAAGTTCAAGGTTTATTGATTGAAAAAAATCCTTAACAACCCAAGTTTGGTTACAGCTAAAAATTGTGAACCTTTGACTGTTAGGACCCCTTAAAATCCTTATAAAAATCCACATTTGGATTCTCACAAAATTGGGCCTTCCTAAAAATCAATAAGAACAAAACTTTGGTCCTGCCAAAAATACCAAAATAATATCTCAATAAAAGGCCTGAAAAAAAATTAAAAATCCATCTCTAGGCGTTTCGAAAAATTATTAAAAATTCACGTTTGGTTTCTCTCATTTGTCCATAAAATACAAAGTTTTGATCCAAAATCGCAAAAAATCTTAAAAATTCCTTGTTAGTTGTCCTTAAAAACCCCTGTTTTGATTCTGCCTAAAATCCTGAACAAAACCCATGAATGTGTCTCCCATAAAATCTTTAAAAAGTCTATGCTCGATCCTCACAGAATAATCCTGAAGAAAATCATCTTTGGTCTTTCAAAAAATCCCTGAAAAATAATTTGGATCCTGCCAAAAATCCTGAAAATCGTATTATAGGTTCAGCCAAAAATCTTAAAAAAATCAACTTTTTTCCCTGCCAAAAATACTCGTTTGTACTCCTCACAAGAATCCTTTAAAATTCTAGTTTGGCATCATCCAATAAACCTTTAAACCAAAGTTGGATACCACCAAAAATCGCTTAAAAATTGACGTTTCGGTCTCTTTTAAATTCCTTAACGATCCATGTTTAAGTCCTTTCAAAAAACCTGAAAATATCACGTTTGGGTCCAGAAAAAAATACCAAAAATCCACCTCAGAGACCTTCAAACATGGGAAAACTTAAAATCCATAAATCGTCCATGTTTAGACCTTTGCAAAAATTTTGAAAAAAAATCTAAGTTTGTAATCCTCCTATATCCCCTTATGAATCCTGAAAATAATGACGTTTTCAGTTCTCTCCAAAACACTTTAAAAACACATTTGTGTTTCTCCCTACAAAACGTACTCTTGTGCACCACCCAAATGCCCCGAAAGAACCAGCTTGAAGTTCTCAAAATCCTACCAGAATTTTATTTAAAAAACCGACCGTGAACCTTTCCTTAAAAATAAGTCAGGACGACAATCTGAATGTCTTCATTTTACGGAAGATGCAAAAAAATCGTAAAACCCAAGTTTATGTTCTGGCAAAAATCCAAAAACTTCGACGTATGGGTCCCCTTGAAAAAAAGTTTGGTTCCTCACAAAAAATGTATAAAAATCCATGTTTGTATGACCTCTTCTGAATTGTTAAAAAATCCTCTCATGAATACAAAAAAAAACTTCAGGTTTATTGGTCTCTTAAAAACCATTGAAAAAATCCCCGATTTTGGTTCTCAAAAACATCCGTAAAATGGTTATAGAAGGCGACTAGAAGGTATTATGTCTAAAGAAGACCTCCAGTTTGGATTTTGTTTATGAATGGTCTAATTTCCTAGGAGGTCTGTCTGCAGGAGATCCTAAAGGTCTTCCTTTTGTCAATAAAGCCCAGATGGCTTTCTGCCTATTCTGACTGAAAAAGACCCCTAAAAGGTCCCTTATCTAAAGAAAATACCTGAGGTCATTCTGTCTATAGAAAGCTTCCACAAAGTAGAAGGCCTGCAACATACTTTCAAGAGGTCCCCGGTCTAATGAAGTACTAATATATTTTTACTAATAGGAATCGCAAGGAGGTTACCTATTCATAAAATACATGTAATGTTTATCGAAAGCCTGCAAAAGTCTTCAATACACAACCGAGCTGCAGAATGTCTCCAGCCTATAGAAGGTCTTTAGTCCGGAGAACACATCCATCTATAGAAAATATCCGGAAGATCTTCCATATATAGAACGTATAGGGTGTCTCTAGTAAATATTGAAAAGGCCTTCAGTCTTAGGAAGATTTTTGGATGGTATTTTTAATGTAAGATTACTACAGAATTAAAAAAAAAAAAAAAAACAAAAAAAAAATTTCGTCCGCAAAGTTCGCTGGGTTACCTTATGATGATGGTGTAGGTTTCATTTAGAAATATTGGTAACTGGAAACGAGATTTTCTCCCTGACCTTGGTAAAAAAATATATTTCACTGAAAAACACAACTTTTTTGAAAACAATTTAGGTACAACAAAATACAACGAAAAAATAACAATTCCTCACCTTCGTTACCTCGCTTGTCTTTTGAACGAATGAGAGCATAATCAATTATAGAAATTCGCCTTATTGTGTGTTTCTTTTCTTTTTCCGTTTTGTTTTTTTTTTTCTGTTGTTGTTTATTTCATTTATTGGAACAGACCAAAATCAGGCACGTGATTGTAGCACCACCACCACCACAACCAACAATAACAGCAACACCTCAACTTCGAACACCACAGCCACTTCTATGTCACATCAACAACAACCACAGCCACAACAACAACAACATCATTATCATCAACTGCATCCACTTCATTATCAGCGTCAGTCGCGTGGTTCGGCTGGTAGTATACAAAGATCGGTTGAGGTGCCGCCATCATCATCTGTAATGCAATATCGCGCCGGTAGTATACATTCGATCTCAAGCTCGGAAGGCTCATCGTAAGTTTTCCTCCTTTAAAAGAAAACATAACTACCTTTTAAGCAGAGAGCTTTGCGCAAAGAAACAAGTTCTCCCTCTCTCTATATCTTTCTCTCTCTGTTTGCTACCATTATTTCCGCTATCTCTACTTTCTCTCTATAAATGCCACTATCTGTCAATGTTGTTCTCCTGAAAGATGCTACCCAAAAAACATTTGACTTGCCAATCGATGTGTGTGTGTGTGTAACATAATGAATAAAACCAAAACAATAATAAAGCGAAGTTGGCTGCAAATTCAATGTCCACTTTGTATTTATAGCAAATATATAAACTATTGTTTAATTAAAATGAATTTTATTTTTTTTATTTATGATTTGTGTGCAAGCCGATCCTTGTATTTTCCATTTTGGGAAATCCCAAGACCTGTTTTTTTAAGCTGTCTATGGTTCTCTGTATTTCCTTTCTCTCTCTCCGTGTGTTTTCCTCTACATTTTGCTCTCTTTCTCTCTAAATGTCTTTTTTTCTGTTCGAAACTGTATATTCGAATTTTTCGAAATTGTTTGCTTACATCTATAATTGTTGTTGTTGTGTGTGTGTGTGTGTGTGCGTGTACGTAATTAATTGCTTCCCATAAAATTTGCAAATTCAATTCAATTTTGTTTTTAGTTGTTTTTTCCTATAACTCTGTAATGAATGGAAAAAATATAAGTTTCTGTTTTTCTTTTTTGTCCTATTTTTTGTATTGTCATTTTAGTTATTGTCGTAGTTTATTTTAGTGTTTTTTAATTTATTATTATTTAGAAAAACATTGACATTCACATCTTTTCCATAATCACTTGTACATACATACCTACCAACCACCTAATTTTTGAATCTGAATTATTTCATATGGGTCATATTTTAAGAAGTATTAGAACAATACAATTCAAAAACTATATATATATTTTCTTAAATTAAATTTAAATTTATTTTTTAAGGCCTGAGTTTATATGATAGCTTGAAAGATTTTTAACGAAAACGAAACTAAAATGAGTTTACAGCAATATTTGGGTCATTATTTGAAAATTGCTCTTAAGGCTTTGGATAATTTAAGTCTTTTTTAAATATTGAAGAAAAGTTTAAAAATTTTACCAAAACATACATCACATTAGGTCTGGAATTTCCCTTTTAAATTTCTCCAAAACTCCCAAAGAAATCCACGACTAAGGCCTTTTAGAGATACTCTATAAACATACAACATTATGGCCGCCCCTCAAAGTTTCTAAAAATAGTCCAAAATAAAACTTATACTCCCTTCAAAATCTTGCCAATTCTTTAAAATGAAAATTAGATTCCTTTTAAAATTTAAAAATTTTAAAAAATTTAAAACTAAAACTAAATCCTTGAAGGGTGTCTACTTCAATGCCTCCCATATGAAAATAGGACTCCCTCAAAAATTCTTTAAATATTTAAAGCTAAAATCTTGAAGGGTGTCTACTTCAATTCCTCCCAAATGAAAATGAGACTCAATCCAAAATTCTTAAAAATTTCAAAACTAAAGCCTTCTAGACATCCTTCAGAATTCTTTAAATATTATTGGACTAAAATCTTGTGAACTCTGTCAAAAATCCTTTATATAATCAATAATTATGCCTAACATTCTTCAAAAAAATTTGTATTATAAACAGCGATTAAGGGTTGGAGACTTGTCCCAAATGCATGATAATCAACGATTTGGAAATGGAGACTTGCCCGTGAAGTTTCTATTTGAAGCCCCGGATCTTCTCAAAAATTCTCTAAAAAAAGTCCAAATTGGAACCTTTTAGGATATATCCATAAATCCTTTAAAATTTCAAAATTTCTTAAAATACCACTAAAGCCTTTTTACCTCCTTCAAAATTTCTTACAAAGAATACCATGTCGACTTTCTAGATAATTCATAAAAATTAGGGCCTTTGGGATTCTCTTTAAAAGTCCTTCAAAAATAGGATTATTACCTTGAAACTCCTTAAAAATTCCTAAAACAAGGCCATGTAGACCTCCTCAAAAATTCCTTATAAAATATACAACAAAAGTCTTGTGGACTCTAGGATTGAGGGCTTATGGACTTTTCTAAACTTCTTTAAAAACCCCTTATTCCTTGTAGACTATTTCCAAAACACCTAAAAGCTAATTAACTCAAGTAGCCTAGAGCATTTTTTACAATCCTATGTGATGTTTGGCTCACAACCTTCTCAAAAAGCCTGTTAAAAAATCCACTATGACGGCTTTGCAGACATCTTTGAAGTCTCCAATTAAGACCTTGTTGATTTTCTCCAAAAATCCTTAAACAATCCATAAATAAGTCCTTGTGGAGTTTCTGAAAATTCGTCACAAAATCCACTATTAGTAAGATTTTAATAAAAACTAATAAATTTAAGTTAAAAATCCTTGCCAAAATTTCAGAAAAAAATCAAATTTACTGACTTCCTTTAGAAATAGAAGTAAATAGTGGAGATCTTGGGGAAATTTCGAGGAAGTCTATAAGGTCTTAAACCAATTTAGAGTAAGCCTCCAATTTTTTATTGGGGATTTTTAAAGATATCCAGAAGAGAGTAGATAAAGCTGCAACCGTAGGCTTATCCATTTCCATTGTCCAGAATCCATTGAACATTTCTCAAAATATTTTGGCTTTCTAGATTTCCAAAAATTATTTTTAAAAACTTCCTTCAAAACACCCCAAACAAATCCACAAGCTAACCGTTGGCGAAGATTTTAGAATATTTTTAACCATATTTCCGAATACTAAGAGATATTAATTTCAGGCCCTGTAGACTTCCTTTTCGGAAATTTTTCGGAAATAACTTTTGTAGAGTTTTTTCAGTAACTTCATATTAAAATCAAAGATCAGTCTTTGATGCAACATCTCTTTGAAACCTAAGAGTCAAGTGGACTACGATTGGAGAATTTAATATTTTTTTCTTAAATTTAAGAATTAATCTCAAATTCTCCAAATCAGGATTTTAAGAAATATTGAGACCATAGTAATGAATTTAAAAAAATTCCCAAGTTAACAAGGATGTCTACACTGTGTAATTACGAAATTTAATAGTCTACTAGTTTTCAAACAGAAATTCTTTAATGATTTTGTTCCACTTAGATTTCAAAGAGATGTTGTATCAACCACAGTTGGTGAAAGTCTCCAATGTCTGATTTTTAAATTTTTATGAAGTTACTGAGAAATTTTTTAAAAGTCTGCATAATTCCTTAAAATTCCTCCATAATTCCTTCGAAAATTCTTAAAGAATATTCTGATCAAGAATCCATCGAATTTTTCTTAGAAAATTTAGATAGTGTAGACTTCCTTCCAAACTTCGTAAAGAATCTGAAATTAAGACTTGCAGTGATTTTTATATTTTTATATATATATTTTTCGCAATAACTCGAAAATCTATAATTGAGACAGTGTAAATTGGAAGTAAAATATTTTTGTCAATAACTTCATTAAAAATTAAAAATTTAGGTGTTTAAGACTTTCTCCAAAATTGGTATAAAAATGTATCCTTGAATATATAATCCCTCCAAACTCCTTTGAAAATCTTACAGACTTTCACGAAAATCACATATAAACTCCATAATTAAAGATTTGTGGAATAGTAAAGTCTATTCAAAAGTCTACAATTAAACCCCTATGGATATCCTCTGAATATCCATCACAAAGGTATAACTCCACGAAGTGTTCCATGAAAATGCCTTGAAATGAAAATCAAAAGCCTAGTAGAATGTCACATAAGTTCCGTTATAAATTTAAAAATTGTTTAACAAATAAATGGTATTTTTGGACTCCTTCTAAAAATTGTTGGATATTTCCATAAAAATCCTTTAAAAATTATCATAAATTTTTTATTAAAGTCCTAGATTTCCTCTACCACTCAATATCTCTAGATTTTTAGCAGCTTATCACTAGTTTAGTTTTTTTTACCCTATTTTACCCTTTTGAAACTTATGATGATGACTTGTTGTAGCAAAATAATCGAATTTTTGGACTTGGACTTTTTTAAAGGAGTTCACACTATAACCCTCTCAAAATGCTACAATGTGTGTTGTAATATTTCTTGGAACCAGAGATATGAATCTTCGGATCCTCTAAACCTAGTTCTGTTTAGTTCACTGAATGATGTTCTAAATATAAAAAACGTTAGGTCTCATAGCCCTTGTTAGAAATACCCCGGATGAAGAAAATCTTAAGCCTCGCCCAAATTCCCAAGTGGTCTCATGTCATGTTCAGAAGGAGCGTGATTCGCTCTCTATGGAAAAGATATTCATTTTTTTAAGATTTCATAATGTTATGAACTAGAG